ATAACTTTCATTACTATTGAGATATGGATAGCATTAGGGGCCAGTCTATGGGCTGTAGGGTATTGTTGTGTTGATTTTCAAGCAATGAGGCCTACTACTGTGTTTGAGTCACAAGAGTAAAAGCAGGAATGGTCCTGATGCTTGTCTCATTTGGAACTATTAAGCCTTGAATTTTGGGTCTCATTTGGTCTTGTTTGGTTGGTAGGTTATCACTTCATGCATGGGTTTGAAATTAGTAGTGGTTCATGTTAAATAATGAAACTGAACAAAATAGAATTTACTCAGCACATTCATTGTTTGGTATGAAAAGATTTGTATGAAAAGCATGCTGGATCTTGGTTATGCGCCAATGAATTTTTCAAATCATTTCTTAATTGAATTTTGATTTTTCGTAGGGTGGTGATATTCTCTTGGATTGCTAGGTGACAGAAATTGTTGAGTTTGTTTAATTAGTTGAAGTTCATAAATAATTTCATTAGTTTAATTCCTTGTCTTCCTATAGTTTTCAACTGATTGGCTTTATTTGGTCGAGCGAATGTGGGGATTCATAGAACTGGGCCTAACGTTGGCCCAATTGAGGAAGCTCATGACAGACTTGGCAGTTTGTCACCTGTTTTTGGATCTTCTCGTCCATTTAAAAATGGGCTCCTCCCAGGCCAAGTCTCAGAAGGCATTCATAAAAAGACTTGTGTATTTCATGGACTTGAACTTGTTTAATTTTGCTAAATCCATCCTTCGTCCTTGCGAGGGCATCTTTGTTGGAACAATTCTCGTTAATAGCTTAGTCATTTGACGCAGGATCAGCTATCACGTAGACTCGCTTTTCAGTAATTAGTACCCCTTCAATGCCTTTCCTTCAACTAGTTTCCTTAAAATGAATTGGGGCAAGCCATATTAGAAAAATAATAATAGTTATGGACCTCCAAATTTTAGTTTGAATAACCTTTAAAAATGGAGTTGAGGTGCGCCGCGCCAAATATAATCCCAAATGTGTGGCCATCACTTAATTATATCCCTTAAAATTCTTAGAACTCAAGGCGTGCCATTTAGCAAATTTCCATGGCCATCGCAAATTTAAAAACGCGTAGTTACTTTAGGTGCGCTATTTAATAATTTACCTTCCTAAACTCGGGTGCGCATTTATGTTACCCAAATCCAAATCTCAACGTTAGCTGAAATGTGTTACGAACTGTGGGTGCATTTATGTGACGTGGTTTGAAACATATTTTAAATGACGTTGCAGTCTTCCTTTAATTAATTAAATAAAAGCGGTTTAAAGTAAAAATGCACATAGGTTTATAATTGTTTTAAAATCAGATAATTGAGTCATTTATAATAGTTTAGCGACCGTGCTAGAACCACGGAACTCGGGAATGCCTAACACCTTCTCCCGGGTTAACAGAATTCCTTACCCAGATTTCTGGTTCGCGGACTGTAATACAGAGTCAACCCTTTCCTCGACTCGGGATTTGAACCGGTGACTTGGGACATCATAAATCTCCCAAGTGACGACTCTGAATTTGTAAATAAAAATAATCCCGTTTCGATTGTCCTTTAATTGGAAAAACTCCCTTATACCCTTGTTCCTTATTTGGTTTTAACTGATGTTTTCTCGGTATTACTATTGCTTTACTGCCTATATGCACATATTGGTTTTTTTTTCATTTACTGATTTCTGCTTTCCATTACTAGTTTTATACGGCTATACTATATAGGTTATTTTGTCTAGTGAGTGTCTTGACTTGTACCTCATCACTACTCCACTGAGGTTAGTCTTGATACTTACTGGGTACCAACCGTGGTGTACTCATACTACACTTCTGTACATTTTTGTGCAGAGCCAAAAATTGGAGTTATCGAATCCGGCAGAGTTACCTTGTTGATCTCAAGGATTCAAGGTAGAGATGTTTGGTCGTCGCAACCCCTTGGAGTCTTTTCCTTATATTGTACTGTCAGTTATCATTTGAACAGTATTGTATTTGGATTCTTGAGATCATTCTATGTATTCAGCTAGAGTTCATGACTTTATATTACCAGTCTTGGGAAGTTTATTATAATTATAGCCACGTAGGTTTATTTGTGCTTTTGTCTCGACACTTATATTAAACCATATTTCAAATTATCATTATTAAAAACTGGCTAAATTGTTATAAAAATCGGCTTACTAGTCTTAGAGACTAGGTGTCATCACGACATTCTATGGAGAGAAATTGGGGTCGTGACAGATATAAAACAACCTATTTTCTGAGAAAGAAATAAACTTTAAACTTACGTAAATGATTCCAGAAATCGGGGAAAGATGGAGTTGTGGCTGGGATGATAACCCTGATAGCAATGACGACAAACCGCTCTATCCATCCGCGGTCATTGTCTCATCCATCCTGGTAAGCAAAGCATGGTAGCCACGCTTGCTAAAGGTTATGACTCCCTCAAGGAAGACTTTTGGGGGGGAGGGGTAGAGGTTCATCATATGAGCTAAGGTGAGAGGCTCCTTCATTTCTAGGCACATCCGCCGCAAACAGGCCACCGTTAGCCACACAGAAGGGACCACCTGAGTCAAACAACCTGGTATCGGTGGCAGAATTTCAAAATTACGGGGTCAAGTCTCCCGCTCAAAGAAAACGGACGCAAAGTGAAGGGGTACATGTAAACGTACGTGAAGCCCTTTTTCGTGAAGGTTACTCGCCCCACCAGATTGGGAGCAATGATACGGGGAACTTCTCTTCAAATTCCTCGGCAATGTTGAGATGTTTGGGGATGATAGTGCTCACCGTGGGAGGATTAGCATCAACATCGTCCTCTTTATCTTTGCTCATCTTCAGTTCCCCACCAAAGAGAAGACCAGAGTTCTTGGAAGAATTAGTATAAGAAGCCATAATAATAAGAAGATGATAGAGTTTTTTTGAAGAAGAACAAAGAGAGATAAAAGCAAAAGGGAGTTAAATGCAAGGAAGTTAAGAGAGCTTATGAAATTGTTAGAAATAAAAGAAGAAGAATGAGGCGTATAAGTAAAGGTATAGGCAACTAAAACTGTTGCCTGATTACCTCGAGAACCGGAAAAAATATTGTTAAATCGTGGTGTAACACGTGTTCAGGTATTAAATGCAAGGAGATGTGCATTTTATCAAGCGTCAAAAACTTTTCATAAGGGTTTTTCCGCCAAGAAAGGAATCTTCACCAACTTGCCAGTGACACAAAGATGTGCCACCAGAAGGCAGAGAGACTATATGTATAGGGTAAAATCGGTTCATATTAAATGCTCGAATAATTATATGACACATGGAACCGGAGACGGATGGATGATGAAGCGAGTGGAAAACAAGACCAAGGACAACAACTTTGGTTGGTATCGGTGTAGATCCCGAAGGGAGCGCAATCAACGGGAGCGAACGAATATTTTATCATCGGATGGCATTTAATGAAGAATATTCGTCCGTATTAAGTAAGCGGCCTTTGCAGAAATTTTTTACATATTCATCAATGACCTCCTTTTATTGTCATTTAAGAGGGGCTTAATCCTAGGATTTTGTTCCCTGGGTATAGCTATAAATAGTGATTTCAACAATCATTGTAACACATGAAAATCTCTGACAAACTTATGCTGCATACTATTCCCAAACTAAATAATACTTTATTTTATGTCTAATATTATTCTTATTGCTGCTTTCGGAAACCTTGCTCCTAGAACCAGGCTATCTGCTATATATCTCGATTTCAACGCTAAGTTTTGTATTCTTATTTAATTTATTTATCATTTTTGGATCAAGTCAGTTCGCTTGTCTATAACTCACGTAGCAAATTTAACTGTATCATTTTACGGGTAAATTATATACACAGACAAAATATATATATAAAGAGAGAGAGAGAGAGAGAGAGAGAGAGAGAGAGAGAGAGAGAGAGAGAGAGTGAAAATATCAGGGGAAACATAGATATTGCATAGAACCGGAGGAGGCAATGAGTATAGTTCAAAGTTGGAGGGTGACTTTCAATTTTAAAGCAACAAACAACAACAACAATAACATACCCACTATTATTTTATATCGTGAGATTTTGGGAGGATAATGTGCACGCAGAAGTACTTTTAAAAAGAAATTTGTATGTAATTCAAATAAGAATCTTAATTATTCCATTCATGAATTTCTTTTATCCAGAATGCTAAAAAAAATATATCCTCGCTCTTCCTCGGGAAAAAGGATGGTGCATAATGCAAATGCAGGCAAGTTAGTCTTAGTAAATTAGTTAAAATTGGAAATTGGTAAGAAAAAGATAAAAGATATTCCACAGTAGAGAGAGAGCCACGATATTGCCATATTTTTTACCATATTTTTATACCAAGGTCCACGCAAGCAAATAGCTTAACCCTATGGGGTCCTTTGATTCAATTGTGGAATAGACAAGCCGTGATATTTATGGAATTAGCTATTCTATTTCTTATATAAAATAACTAACATCAGTTTTTTTTATATAAAGTGTATGTCAATTGATTTTGTGGCTCTTTGCAAATTTATTTTTAGTTTTATAAATCTATCTCTTTTTTTATACATGGGAAATTTACTTTTACATATATAAAATTTGTTTTTTACACATAAAAAATTTAAAAAGATCATTTTATAAAATATTGTAAAGGGATATAATAGTACAAATAGCACAATATTAAACTTATATCCATAGCCAAAAATGTAATAATTAATATAATCTCAAATTCTATCTCGAAATTAGTATCCTTATTCCGGTAACCAAACCACCCCTACGGGGTAACTTATCAGACCAATTTTTTTAGAGTCTGTAGAAGTGATTATTGAAAAGGTTATAAGAATATAGTTATCTCTAAAATTGATTTTTTTTTGGGGTACGATAACCAAGCGCAGATTATAATTAAGGAAAATACTAGAATTAAAAAAATGTATTAGAACAGGTAAAAAAAAAATCCTAAGCTTGAGTTAGATAGTTCACTTTTTGCCTGAAACCATTAAACTTCTATGTATCCCCATATTCCCCGGAGTTAGTTTCTTTTTTCTATAAATATACTTTTAGACAGCACAAAAGGAAACTGAAGGAGAGGCAGTGTAGAGAAATACGGAGAGCTGTCAAAAGGTAAAATGCTACCTTAATCTCCACTTTCCTCGGAAACTTTCTTCTTCCATCTCTGTCTCCTTGAGACCTAGTTATTATCAATTTAAGAAATTGTTCATTTTTTGCTATACATTTTACAGAGTTTCTGAAAATCTTGAATATCATATTTTGGATCTTTGTTCTTGTTTTGGAACAAATCTAGAGAAAAGGGAAAAAAAACCCATTTATCGATTACTCCGCCGTTCATACAATTTTTAACCATTTATTTTTTTTCCTGAGATGGGAAAATGGTGTAACTCTGCATGTGGTGGCCACTAAACAAGAAGAGCCGTTGGTTTCACCCAGAATATTAGTATCATAATCTGCATTCTCTGGAAATGTTTATACTCTGTTTTATCTGTTAAATGACCTTTTCAAGATTCTCTTCACATGACTTTAGTTAACCGAAATGTAAGGGGGAAAAGCATATTTATTTACTTGGACGGTGTAAAATATCCGAATAATTGCTTTATTCTTATGTTTCCCTCTGCATTATAAAATATCTTGGACATAACATTGTTATTCTCCATTCAAAACAGGTTCAGGGTTGAAGACTCTGGACGAAAATCAATGGGGTCTCTGGGAATAAGTGAGATTTATGATAAGAGCAGCTTTAACGAGATGGAGTTTGAATTCGACCCCAGTGCCCCTCCTCCCTTTAGGCTGGCAGAGATACGAAATGCCATCCCTAAACATTGTTGGGTTAAAGATCCATTTAGGTCCTTGAGCTATGTTGTCAGGGGCGTAGTATTTGTTGCTACCTTGATTGTCATAGCAATTCACTTGGATAGTTGGTTATTTTACCCAGTTTACTGGGCTATCCAAGGCACCATGTTTTGGGCAATCTTTGTTCTTGGACATGATTGGTAAATACTGGGCTATAATTTTTACACCTTTCTTGTCTTAATCAACATTGCTGTTTTCAGATTCGAATATGTTGCTTTATTTTTGTGTTTTCCCCTTTTCTTTTTGTAGTGGCCATGGCAGCTTTTCAGACAGCCAGTTGCTAAATAATGTGGTTGGTCACATACTTCATTCTGCCATTCTGGTACCCTACCATGGCTGGTTGGTGCTTCAACTTGTCTCTCTTTATCTCCTCTTTTTCTTTTAGATAATTTATCTTTTTTACTTTCATAAGTTAATGTATGGATACTTTTCTCTAACAGGAGAATCAGCCACAAAACTCACCATCAGAACCATGGAAATGTGGAGACTGATGAGTCTTGGGTGCCGGTATGTTCCTTATATTACTGCCAATTATTTACCCATAAATAAAGTAAATATATAATAATCTCTTTTCCTCCAGATGCCTGAAAAGCTATACAACAAAGTGGGTTATTCAACCAAGTTCCTAAGATACAAGATCCCTTTTCCCTTGTTAGCATATCCAATGTACCTGGTAAGAGATTGCATCTATCTACATTTGAAACGTAACGTAGATACTACTAGTCTAAAGTTTTATACATCTGTGATGCAGATGAAGAGAAGTCCAGGAAAATCTGGTTCTCATTTCAATCCATACAGTGATTTGTTCCAACCCCATGAGAGGAAGAATGTGGTTACATCAACTCTGTGCTGGACTGTCATGGCAGCTCTCCTCGTCTATCTGTGCATTGCCTTTGGTTCTCTGCAAATGTTTAAGATTTATGGCGCTCCTTACTTGGTCAGTCATGCTAATCTCTACTTAATTTGCTTTTTCTAGTAATCGCCCGCTGAGCTGTGCATCTTGTTTTCAGATTTTTGTAATGTGGCTAGATTTTGTTACCTACTTGCATCACCATGGTTACGAGAAGAAGCTTCCCTGGTACCGCGGCAAGGTCTAAGACATCAATATCCTTGAAATTCCAATTTTGATAAGTATGTTTTATGTGAAGTGTCAAATGCTAAACCTAGTGAAAAATTGAACAGGAATGGAGTTACCTTAGAGGAGGACTAACCACAGTTGATAGAGACTACGGATTGTTTAACAACATACATCATGACATCGGAACACATGTTATCCACCATCTATTTCCTCAGATACCACATTATCACTTGAGAGAAGCGGTATGTTGTTCTAAAATTAATAGTACTGTACTATCTAGTATTCTCATACTGAAACCTGCTGATGATGATTCTAAAATATGTTGCAGACCAAAGCAGCAAAGCCTATACTTGGCAAGTATTACAGGGAACCCAAGAAATCAGGGCCAATTCCTTTTCACTTGGTTAAGGATTTAACAAGGAGCATGAAGCAGGATCATTATGTTAGCGATTCCGGGGAGATTGTTTTCTATCAGACCGATCCACACATCTTTCGATCTGCTCCAAAGGATGAATGAGTGAGAAAGAGAAATCAAAATAATCTCATTAACTCGTTTCACAAACTTGGTGTTAGCTATAGTTTTATAATTGAAACCTATTGAAAAAATAGGTTTGAGAGCTTTTTGTTAGTCGATAAGATTGTGTTCCCATTATTTCTCTCTTGAAAACAAAGCTACAAGAAAGAACAGGGCTTTTTTTAACGCTTTTTGTGCCTACATGTTTCATGGTTTATTTCTATTCCATCAATCTTGGCTTTCCCTTTTTTCTTTCTTGGTTCAGCAACCGTATGGTTAATTCCAAGGAGAGAGGAAATGACAGTAAAATATTGCTTGCTTCCATTAGAGTAGTCTTTGTGTACTTCTGGCTTTTGTCACAAGGGTAATTTAAAGTAAAAGAGGGTGAATACATTTGTCCTTTTGGTGTAGGCAAAGCTTACATGAGGACTGTCCAAGTACCTTCCCATTATTTAAAGTAATTATTTAATTCCTACCTAAGCAACTAGGGAAGATGATTTGTTTTCTCTAGTACTAGTATTATAACGCCAATATGATTTGTTTTACTTAAATATAGAAAATGAGTTTAGTTTATGTGACAAGCTACAAGATTATTTAGGAAAGAACAATTGGTGTGAACCGGTTACCTAGTTAAGTTATTCAAGGGGCATCCATATATATATGTGTGTAAAAACAAGTAAATACTTAAGAAAGAGACGATTGCCAAAAATGGTCCAGAAATATATTGTCGTATCATACAGAATCATTGGCCTCATAAATTGTTTTCGAGGATGCAAACGGTACCACAAGATAGTGATAGAACGAGAATATACAAGTGGAAGCTCTGAAGCTGGTTGTTGCTTGTCTCTGTTCCATAAATAAGAAAGAGAAGCAGGGGAAACACTGAGTCCGAAACATAAATAGTGCCCTTTTGGGCAAAAAATACTTTTCTACTGTTAAAAAAAAAGTTACATAAGGACATAAAACACAGTATAGTACTGCATTTTACTTTAACGGAAGGTTAGCCGTTAAAGTTAAACGTAATACTATACTGCGATTTATTAAAAAAAAAATTTTTTTTTTAAAGGAAAACGCAGTATAATACTGCAATTCCCTTAAACGCAGTATTGTACTGCGTTTCCCTATTAAAATTGGGCTCACCTTATAATCTGCCATAAAGGCCTATATTTAATTAAAGGAAAACGCAGTACAATACTGCGTTTAAGGGAAATGCAGTATTGTACTGCGTTTTCCTTTAATAAAATATAGGGCCCCTTTTTCTTCCCCAAAACAACGACTCCATTAAAAAACTCCCCCCTCCTCACTGCTGGTCCCTCCCACCGTCAAATTAAAAAAAAAAATTTGGGCCCCACCCGTCACCCAAAAAGCAAAGAGTGTAGTACACAAGCTTTGGATTCCTTCTTTCGGGTTCAAAAATTCGATTTGAATCTATTTCAAAAAATTTAAATCGAGGTACTTCGATTTTGTTTATGTCGAAACTCGTATAGTACATGCATATTTGTATTGTTGAATGTGTTTCCATGTTAATTTGTGTTTAAATTTGTATCTTATTTATACCCGGATTGATTTATTAGCTTTGGGACAAAAAATAGTTAAAACTTGATAAATAATTTTTATTGTTAATGTTATGTTTTTATTTGCTTAAATAATAAATAAATATTATTTATTTAGTTTGTTGTTCATATGTATGTTATGTTTGTTGTTTATATGTAATAGTGGTCTTTTAGCGTAGTAAAATATAGAGTCTTTAGCGTAGTAAAATATATAGCCTTTTAGCGTAGTATATATAGCCTTTTAACGTAGTAAAATGTAGAGTCTTTTAGGTAGATCTCTGCAGTTTAAGTATGTAGTAACTGGAACTCATACATAATTACTCAGTCCAATTTTAAAAATAATTATTTAATTCCTTAAACTAACAAAATTCTAAAAATGTTGAAATTGACACGCATAATAATTAAGGATAACTTGGTGCTACCGGGCCTCAAATATCGAACCTGGAACCCATAGATAATTACTCAATTTTAAAAATAATAATTTAATTCCTTAAACTAATAAAATTCTAAAAATGTTGAAATTCACACACATCATAATTAAGGATAACTTGGTGCTACCGGGACTCAGATATCGAGCCTGGAACCCATAGATAATTACTCATTCCAATTTTAAAAATAATTATTTAATTTATTAAACTAACAAAATTCTAAAAATGTTGAAATTGACACACATAATAATTAAGGATAACTTGGTGCTACCGGGCCTCAAATATCGAGCCTGGAACCCATAGATAATTACTCAGTCCAATTTTAAAAATAATTATTTAATTTATTAAACTAACACACATAATTAATTTTCTTTAAATTATAGTAGACGAAATGGACTTTCCGCCTGCGCATCCTGGACCAGCCGAGGATCAGCTATTAGTGTTGCAGGGCGACCATAGGTCCTCCTTTGTATGGGAGGGACATCTATCGGATCAGCCTCTCCGTGCCAGGAGACCTGACGATTTGTAGGACTTCATGGCGCAACATCATTTCCATGCCCGCGTAGTCGCGCGCCTACAGGCTACGGGCTTCTATACAATTTTTCGGATTGGGCGGATGCAGCTTGATTGGTCTCTCATCACGGCCTTGGTAGAGCGGTGGCGACCGGAGACGCACACTTTTCACTTGCCCATTGGAGAGGCCACCATCACGCTGGAGGATATTCAGGTTTTGTACGGGCTGTGCGTAGATGGACGGGTCATTGCGCTGCCTCAGTACATTAGATCCATGATGCGTGGACAGTATTTGGATATGATGGGGCAGTATACTGGTTACAGACCTTAGGGTGACGCTGTACAAAGAGGGGGCAGTCGCGTTGCTTTGTCAGTCATCAGAGATCATATGGCGTTTTTGCACCCAGACATTACCGGCGAGACGGAGGATCTCCATATTGAGCGGTACACGAGGTTGGCGCTGCTCCTGCTTTTCAGGGGTGTCTTGTTCCCGAACACTTCGGGAAGTCTAGTGAGTATGCGCTTTCTCCATCATCTGCAACAGCTAGATGATTTACCCCTGTACATCTGGGGTGCTGCTGTTCTCGCATACCTGTATAGGAGCATGTGTCGGGCGAGCATGCTTTGTCAGGTGGACATATGTGGTTTTCTGCCCCTTCTACAAGTGACAATATTTTCGAATACTCTGTTCATTACTCCGAATTCTATATGGTCGAAATGACTCTTAAATTTTATGTCAACCTTTTATCTTAAATTTGGGCTTGGCAGCGGATCATGACGTTGCAGCCACCTCTACCACCACTAGAGCCCGGTGAGGCTCATCCGTTTCGCCCTCTAGCTTCTAGGTGGGTTCTCCAGCGTGGGAACTACCCAGGGACCGATGCTCATCATAATCTCCCCCTTGTCAGGATGTGTTAGATATGCTGGTGGCCGGACAGGTAAATATGTACCTACACTTACTTGTTATAAATTGAGTTGTGTTGCGCATACTCTCTTTTATGTTATTATTTGGTAGTTCATCTAGACGCCATACAACGACGAGTTGCTAGCTCAGCTGCCCGATTATTGCTCAGTCGACCGACTACTTTGGAACACCTCCGTCCCGATGATCTTCTTCGATATGGCTGAGTATTATGCCACAGAGCGTGTGCTTCGCCAGTTTCATCGTCCCCAGCCTATATCGGGGGAGTCTGCATGGGTGCCTACACACTATCAGCGGGATGACCATACCAGGGTGGACGATAGATTTATAGGATGGCTAGAGCAGCAGGTCCATATTTGGGAGCAGCGAGGTGATCGTATTCCGCCACCACCTTCATTTACCCAGGAGGCCACTATTCAGTTATATATGTCATGGTACCGCCATCACACCCGACTGATGATCGAAAACCCCATTCATGTTCTTGGCGAGCGCTACAGACCATACGCTGGGAGGCACGAGGCACTGGTATGTTTTTGTGGCTTATTAATATCTTATATTTGTGATATAGCGTTATTTAATTAATATCTTAAGTGTTTCACAGGATATTGGGCATCATCTGGTCTACCAGTTGGGACAGGAGATGCAGCAGCATGTTGATAGTGCTGCACTCGTTGAGTATGGCCGACGGGTGGCAGATCTGGCTCGTCAGACCCTGTTTCAAGTGAGAGATGGAGCGAGGTTGGATCACGAGGCTCAGTATGCGGCTCCAGAGGACAACCATCGGGGTAGGGCTGTCCCATGAGGCAGGGGTAGGGCACGAGGGAGGGGTGCCCCATGGGGTCGCGAGGGATGGCGAAGAGGTGGTCCCCAGCAAGGGGGCGTTGAGGTACCTGTCGACCCACCTGTTGAGGGACATGATGAGGATTTTGGAGATGAGGATCTTGGAGATGATCAGCCGGGTTATATACCTCAGCTAAATGAGCCTTCCAGCAGTATGCCGTCGTACAGGCTTCAGCTATCTCTACCAGCATCGCAGGTCACCCTGTCAGGAGCATTGTTGATCACGGGTACATTCGACGGGGATGTAGAACAGTACTTTGCAGTCCCATCTACCGCAGCTGAGGATCGGTCGACCCGGGACGTGGATGGCGGGTGCAGGTTGAGTTATGCCTCATCCCCGGCGGTTGATGCGGATCTACCACAGGTGCAGGTATGTTTGTATTACTGTAAAATTTCAATTTGTTTCTTTTCCTTAATGAGATGCCATTAATTAATTTTTAACATTCTTATGAAGGCTTCGTCCCAGTCCATCTTTGAGGCCACTACATGCTTTGATGAGGACACCACAGATGCATATACTCAGGAGGCCGACGAGAACACGGTGAGAAAATATTTTTTGACTTAACACGTACAATACTAATATACTTTTTCACATGCTAAGCTTAGTACTTGTTTTGTAGGTTGCTGACGGCCCGACGACCTCTTCTACCGATCCTGCCAGCTGTGGTGTTGATGCTGCTGCACATCCTCACATAAAAAGGCGGCTTGATGATGATGATTCATATAGTGTACCCGGGCGACAGGGGATGCGACTCAGGCCAGCAGCAACACTGAAGCACACCGCCTAGTATTCTCTGCTCCAACCACTTGAGCTTGTCTTCCAGCTTTTTTATCTTCTTCCACCTCCTTGAGTTTCACCTTCAACTCCGCAATTTCTTGCTTGGATTGGCGCTCTCTGTCCCACTGCCCCGTACACACAGTATGAAGATGATACAACTTGTCTTTGTAGTATTTTTGCTCACATGGTTCATCAATCCACACCTTAAAATTGCATGTAG